ATTGTCTGTCCATAGGCATCAGGAGATGGCACAGAGTGGGTTAAGGTCAGCTCCGTGTTTTCAGATTCTCTTCATCATTGCGTTTTTGTCTGCTTGCTTTTTTTTTTTTTTTTTAAATGAAAATTGAGGTGTTTTAGCAGTTATTGACAGCCAGTCAGGAAAAGGGCAACGAGGAGCAGAGTGTTCATCACCTGCCAACATACCTCTTGTCATACTGAGAGAAATAACACCGACCCACAGGACGTGAAACACTGAGCAGACGTGATGTCCCCAGGATAACAAACTGCTGTCGGTTTCATAAGAATTGACTTTATCTTATGTGGGTTTCCTATTAAGCTGTGAGATGCCTGCTGGAATGTAAAGCAAAATGTTTCCTGTGCAGAATTTCTGCTGACATATAGGGAAAATCCACGCAAGGACAGCACTGACTGTATTTTCAACAGACTTACCAATTACTTACTTATTGATTGGGTATGTCTTTTGGTAGGAAATGGTCAATAACAGCAAGCTTTACTTTCACTTTTAGGTTAGGTTTTGTTTGTGCTCTGTCCTGGCTGCACAGAGCAAACTCATTGGATAGGTACAAGATGCATAGATTTTAGACACTTTCTTGGATCTAAAAATGAAATGTTCACAGAAGGGAACAGAACAACAACAAAAAAACAGCATCTGGAATAAAGGGAAAAGGTTTTCAATTTTACTTTAATATGTAAATTAAGATATAAAACTGTAGGAATATATAAAATAGGTGATAAAATTTTGATTAAGTGTTCTCTTGGCTTTCAAATGTTGTTCTGGGAGAAATTATTTTCTGAATCCTAGTATTAAATCTTTTTTTTGTAAAAGTGAATGTGTTCCATATTCAGAAATCTCATGAGTCAACTTATTTTCCACACTTTTTATTCATTAAAACATGAGATTTACATACATCAAAATGCAGGAAATTACAAAATGGCTGATCGTATTTAAAATTCTTGGAGTTTCATTGTAAAAGTACTCTCCTTGAAGAAGAAACAATTCAACATGATGTTTCTTGGATTTTCCTTACATGCAAGCTATTCTGTTTACTCATCTTCTTACATGTAGATTTACTCATTCCTGTATTTGAACACTTGCTTATCTTTGAAGTATTCTTGTCCCACACTGAGGATCCCTGTAGTCTCCTGGGTTGCAGCCAGGAAAAAAAAAACAAGAGCGTAATGTTTTCTTCAGAGTTCAGCTGCTGTGTACGCTCCACCTTATAGGACTGGAGATATACGCTAAGCTCTTTGGAGTGGAAACTCATTTCCACGTTACGTCTGCATGCGTGCACAAGTGTGCGTGCACGTTTGCACTCCCCATAATGAGCCCATCTCCAGGACGCGGTGGGATTCCCCAGCCCCATGCCACAGGTAGGTGGACAGCCTCAAAGCTGTGGGGACAGGCGTGTGCCCAGGGTCACCCATAGGGACACAGGAAGCACTGGCAGCCCCAGGGTCTCATCCCGTGCTCAGAGCCTGCTGGGAGCTGTGCCGCACCGAGTGCTACTGCGGTTGGTAGTGGTAGGAGGGGAGGAAGCTTGCAAGTGTGTTTCTCAGACTGAAGTGTAAAATGGTATTGATTTGGGCTTTTTTTTATAGACTCGGAACTGTTTTCTCTCGGTGCGATTTCATTTTAGAATAATTCATGTGGTTGGTATCACAGAGATGTGTTGCAAGAACAGCGTTCCTACATCTGATACTTATGAACTGGTTGTGGAGGAGGAAGATACTGTTGCCTAAACTCATGTCTTCTATTTAGCTTGCCATTAAACAAAAGTCTTGTAAATTGGACTCCTATTTTCCTTATAAATTATAAGAAATCTGGAAATAGGTTCTTTGTCTTTACTTCTGATGCTGACTATGCTAATGTTGTTAGTGCTGTGGGGGTGCATGTGGGAAAGAGCGGACCCCAGAGCCTTCTGACTAATTAGGAGCTTTCTGGTTGGCAAGTAATGAATTATGAGTGAGCTGACACATGAATCGTGGTTTTAACCCACAAAAAGTAATGTAGCTTTTTGGTACGTAGAGAATAGAGACTGACCTTGTGTTGTTTAAAGAATAGCACATAAGGATGCCATTACTTGTTAGAAAGGAGGTTGTAGAGATAAAGTCCCTGTCTTGTTCTGATATTGGGCATTTTGATAATATTCCTGTGGGATTAGTCTGTAGTAATAATGTAGAAGGAGTGCAGATGAGTAAACACACAATATATAGCTTTTGAAAGAGAATAATCGTGTGTGATTTAAAAAAGCAGAGATGAAAAATGGAGACTGGGATATCAAGTTTAAGAGCTCTTTGCAGGACAGCAGTCTGTCATAAACAACAGATTAGGCAGATTAATTTGTTCCTGTTATGATTATACTAAAAAGAAAAATAGTGACAAAACCTTTCAGGGGGACAAGCCTAATGAAACTGTTGTGTACTCCTAGATGACCTAATCTGTTTGTTAGATAGCAGTGAGCATTCCTCACCACCTTCCTTTGCAGTGCTAATACATCTCTACTGCCTATCTAGGCAGAGTGTATAGAGGTCACTGTCTTTGGCAGAGATATACAGAGATTTGTCAAAATAGATGGTGAGAAGGAGCTAGCCTGGCCATTATTTTCCATGCCAGCAGTTGGAACTGTGTAATAATTAGCTGGTTTAAACCACTTTGTGGATCATCTGTTCCATAGGTTACTTCAAGCAGCCGAGTATTTCCCAGCATTGGTTTGCAAACTCAGAACCTATTTAAAAGATTGAAAAACACAGCAGTATTATGGTATGGCAAAAAATTAGGCAGGCTCAGTGCATTGCTGATATTCTCTATACATGTTTTAGCAAAGTGTTTGTTGAACAAAATTCTTAGAGAGTCCTGAGAATTAGATTGTAATACTGAGGAGTTACGGGGAGGGTTTGGATTGGAGGAGATGGGAAGGAGGGGAATTATCCTGAATCCAGACCTCATAATCAAGTAAACTCAGAATGAACAAGTAGAGCACACCAACCCAGCACCTGAGGTTGTAATGTGCATCGTGGGTGCAACTGTACAGTGTTTCTGGTTGCAGTAAGTACAATGTGTGACTCCTATAACCACTGTGAATACTTGCAGGTATTTTATAAAACTGAAAATAGTGTTTTGTTCCATAGCGTCTCTTACTGCTACGCAACTTGTCTATATGTTCGTATGCAGATAATCACAACTGTTCTTTCTGAACTGTCAGAATGGCCAGATGTGCACAAACGTTATTGTGGAAGCTCAGTAGCTTTCAGTTGGTGCTTGAAACTCTTCTGTTGCCAGGCAAGTTATATGCATGAGGTAGCTGTGCTACTCTCCGAGACTGAATGGGAAGGGACACATCTTGAACAGTCTCATGGTCTCTTGTCATCTACCTTATTATAATAAATCTTCCACTTTTGGCATAGTTGCTTAAAAGTTAGACCAACTCTTGCTATTGACTGAATACAATGCATAAGTTTTTCTTAGTAGGAGCTTTTTAAGCTTAAGAAAATTCTTACCCAAGCACTTAAGTCATACTGTACAGTGGTAGAAATGTGAATAATTGAAGTGAGGTCATCACCAAACAGAATGGAAAGAAGAGCCTGTCAGCCACCTAGGATGGAGCAGGGACCCTCCATAGGGTGATGTCATGTCTGCAACAGATTCAGCAGTTAAAACAGTACTGAAGTTGACAGAATACCAGGGCTTTAGCTCCTCTGAATGCATTTCTCTGCCCTCTGGTGTTACTTCTATATTGCTCAGGCCTGGCAGTTGTTGTTCAGGGCAGCTGTTCTTCATCTTGAGGTTATGACATATGAGGTTGTCTTCTCAGTCATACAGGCAAGATACTGAAAGACCTTTGCTGCCATTTGTATAGTGCTTATTCTGTGCTTCTAATGGTTATGGGTGGACATACAAATGTATACAATTAACTTGCTTGTTTCTTGGGTTGCTCTTTATCTTTGTCTCACGCTGCCATAGCAAGATTGCTAGTTCATTGCAGTGCTGATATATCATAGTTTGCAGTGTATGCTTGGTGCCGTTTGTATCTGACCACCTAGAAGCTGCACATTTGCACTGAAAAGGAACCAAAGAGATGGATGATCCTTCTGGAATGTCATCATTTTCAGGATTGATCTTTAGGATTTAATATATTTTTTCCCAGAATATCTGGGAAGCTGATGATTTTGATGGATCTTCTCTGAAAACAGTAGGCACAAGGTATGAGTGTCTCATGGCTCCAGCATGGCTGCAGCTGTGCCAATGTACGTTGACGTATCCAGCCACCTGAAATAAGGCCATTTCTTTTTGAGTGCTCCAGGCTATCTGTTGCAGAGGGCCTGCATTTGTTGAGCTCTGTGAGAGTAGTTTGGCATTTTCAGAGAATGCCAAGTGGGCAAACTCCAGATAGCACGCAACTACGGAAGACCTTCAGGTACTTTATACCTGATCAGCTAAGAGATCAGAGCTTTAGTCTGCTTGTGTAAGAATAAGCAATAAAACTGATGCATTTAATCTCCACCTGGATTCTTATACGTTCAATTCTTCTGATTATCACTGATGTCTGCAAGTGGCCTAAATTGAGTCTGAAGTTTTCTAGTCCCGTTGTAGCGCTGTGTCTTTTACCCTTCTATTTAGTTTATAAGCTGAAATGCTTTCTGAAGCATAGAAGTTCAGAAGAAGAAACAGAAAATGAGAGGAGATGTTCTAAAATGTGAAACAGCTACCTTTAGTTTAAGTTACTGGGCTTTGTATTTATTGGCTCTGTACAGTATACTAGCATACTGGTGTAGTTTTAATGACCTTTTACAGAATTGTGTCCTTATATGCAAAACCTTGGGAACAGAACTTGTGAATTGTAACATAAAGAATCTCCAGATGTATATATTATTTCTTATGAACATACACAATTGTTTTCTCGGGAAGTAGATGACACTGTAGAAAAGCAACATCTGTGTCATTATTTAATTTTAATAGTGCCAATAATTTTCTTTCACCAGAGGAATTCAAGGGCTCGACGATAGTTGAATTAATGAAAAAAGAAGGCACTACCCTAGGGCTTACAGTATCAGGTGGAATCGACAAGGATGGGAAACCAAGAGTATCTAATCTTCGTCAAGGAGGAATCGCTGCTAGGTAACCATATTTCAGGATACAAAATACATTATAAGATGTGAATGCTTCAGAAATACGTACTTCATCAGAAAGGTCACTCACGAATATCTGATTGTATGCATCTGTAGTGGTAGGCTATCAGACCAGAGAATCTCAGAAATGGCAACAGCTGGTCCCCCTCTTCCCTCAAGGCTACTTTCACAAAAGCTAGAATTACCAGTGAGGTATTTAAAAGTTATCGTGAGACTAATTAAGTTTCTTCTAAATTGTAGAAATTTGACCTTTTTTTTTTTTTTTTTTTTTTTTTGTCCTTGAATGTAAACTTGAGAGAAGCAGCAAAAAATATTGAGGATAAAATTAAAACTGAAAACCTAACAATAATTGTACCATAATATAATAAATAAGGTAGTTCATCAGCTTGTTTTAAGATTATAAAGAAGTCTGAAGTCACAGCTGCCTTGCATACTACAGAGTAAGATGAAATGCTGTTATACGTGAGCAAAACAGGTCAGGAGATAAAGATCAAGTTAAATCATTCCAAGTAACTGAGCAGAACATATGCTTTTGGGCTATGACCTGTCTCCTATAGCTGTGATGTTAACTATGAAGGCTACTGCTGTCTGAAAAAATAGTTCTGGAAGTATCCCAAAGAGGGAGAGGTAAAGATGGGGAGATGTTTTCCCATATCCTTTGCCTAAACCAGCCAAATTATCCAGTTCCTATTATTGTACATCTGTTTTTGTACATCAGAAATTAATAATGCAACAATGTTCTTTTAATATTTAACAAACTAGACTAGAATAAGTTCTTAAAGGCCACTCTCTGTTTGAAAGATCAACTTGTTTTAATCTAGATGAATAGAAAAAGTTGTTTCTTGCCATTACTAAACAGTAATTTAAGGTAATTAGTTTGGTCCGCCAGGTCTGTCTTTAATGAAAAGAATATGTACCTTTTCCTAGGAGTGACCAGCTGGATGTAGGTGACTACATCAAATCTGTGAATGGCATCAACCTGACCAAATTTCGCCATGATGAGATCATCAGTCTGCTGAAGAATGTTGGCGAGAGGGTTGTTTTAGAAGTGGAGTATGAGCTCCCTCCGGTCTGTAAGTAAAAGCAGAGCAACCTGAAACCTATGCAGAATAACAGATGTGTTGTCAGCACTGAGGTGGATGTGGTGGTGATCTTCTTTTGCTAGTGATTTTATATTTTTTTCCTCTGGCTTATTGCAGAATGTGGAAGCAATACAAAAAGTGTTGGCAGTACAGGGGGATGCTCTCAAAGGTGCTCTGAGCATTAGGAGCATAAATCTAGCCAATGACAAAGCTGAGTCTTGTCAACTTCCACTATTTTTTTCTAGTTTCTAGTATTGAGAATTAGATTAGGTGGATTCCAAGACAACACAATCCTTCATGTTATAGTAAGATCTGAGGTGAGACCTATGAATATCTGACTTTATTCCCTCTCTCCACTTGCAACACCTTCTGCTTTCCCAGATAATGTATTTTGGGATTTTTCCAGTCACTTCTAACATCAGTTTTAGGCAACATCTTATTTTTGGGACAGAAGACCCAGTGGAGTAGGCTATAGAGATAGGTAAAACTGCAAGAATCCTATTAGTGAAATGAAGACTTCTTGTTGAGCAGGATTGTCTTCAAAATGCAAATATAAGTTGACAGCAAAGTGAAAGAGTGCTGTTGAATGTCTTCCTTCCCTCTTATTTGCCCTTTCTTTTTATGTTTATGTTCTCTGGCACAGTGGGAGAAAATCAGTAGGAATTGAGGCTCTCAGGTATTAAATGAAAGCCAGAGTAATGGTAAGCTGGAAACCTGGGGCCTGAAATGATGGAGTAAATGACAGGTGGCACCAAGGGGCTGAACCAAAAACCTTTAAAAGTGTGCATGCTCTTTCATGCTGCTCACTGGAGGGGAGGAGATGAGGTTTTCTGGTGCTTGGCCAGAAGAAAACTGCTAAGCCAAACTAGAAAGCTCTTCTATCCTTAAATAAAGACTTTGATTGCAATAAAAGCCAAAGAATCCATCAGTGCTCAGAAGAGAATGTACTTCCCACTGTTCTGTAGCAGCTGGAGAGTTAGTCTAATTACATATTTGGTTGCTTTTACGACCTCCTGACAATCGCCTTAATGTTTGGAGTGTTCTCTGTTGATTAGTGTGTGCCTGTGGTAAGGGAACTTCCTGTTCAGAAACACACTGTTTGAGGTGATGAAGTCAACTGAATTATTTTGCTAGGGAATTATTTTGCTAGAGATGTAGTTGTCATATGAGAATAATTTGTTTTGCACTCACTTAAGTAGGTTTCCTTCATTTTCACTGCTGTTGGCTAATGTGCCACTTTCATCTATAGAAGCAGGAGTTTGCAACAGTAAATTACAGTAGCAGTTATAGTCTTTTTGTTAAGTCCTTGGAACTTCTGATCCCTTCATACAAGCATGGCTAATAACATTGGAGATGATCAGCAGTTTAGTTGTTCCTATTAAAGCTGATGAGCAAGCTAGACAAAGTGACTTCCTATAAGCAAAAGTTTTTTGGTGGGTCGTATGGTGAAGAACTGGCACCTCCTTCCCTGCCCGTACATAATGAAGTTCTACTGCTGTTGTCACAGCTCCCCCTCAGAGAGAGGACTGTTTTGGTTTCTGAGTGGGGAAATGTCAGTACATTAATAATGATGGATTACATCTGGCTGAGCACTGGTAATTCCGCTCTCCCTGGTGCTTCCTTTCCTGGCTGGCAGTGCTCACAACAGGAGGATCCAGCTTCTATTATCAGCACAAGCTACCTCAGCATTTCAAACTGGAACATGAGCTGTCTGCCTTGCATCTACCCTTGTTGCTAACAGCTAAGGGCTTTTTTCACCTCTCAGGCTGAGCTTGGTGTGAAAGTACAGCCGCCTGAGTGGTCACTGCTGAAGTGGAAGGATGCTGTGTGCCCTTCCTCACTGCTGAGCTACGTGGCTTCCCTTTCCCCAGTGGGGGCCACAAGCTACACCAAGCAGACAGCAAGTGCAGATATAGCTTGTGCTGTATACTGGGCTACTTCCAGTTGATAGGGATAAAGAAAGAGTTGTCCTCTTCTCTCTATAATTTCATCCTTTTCTATCAATGAAGGGTTTCTAATTGAAAATGAACTGTGTGGATGTTGATAACACCATCCTGATATTTGAGTTGCAGCAGAAATTACTGCAAGACAAAGCAGTGCTTTGGAGAGTCATCTCTTGTTTTCCTAAGGAAATGAGATTTATGTTATTTCACAGGCTTGTTTTTCTGGTTTCCTACTGTAACTTTAAAATTTTCTGGTTATAGTTAATCAAGTCTAATGGGGATTGAAGGACTCTGGGGAAAAAAAGTACATTCCTGTATGTTTCATGAAGGTAGGTGCTTGAGCAGAAGGATCCCAGGGCAGGAAGCATCCCAAGGGAGAGGCAGGAAGAGCCAGGAGGGCAGTGCTGCTCTTTGGGGCCGCACATGGGCTGTCAGCATGCACCTTGGGGCAGTTGTTACAGGGACCTGGGAAACTGGGATTATTGCAGGCTGGGGCTTTGCAGGATATAAGTTTTATTAGTTCTGCACCTCACAGAGCATTCATTTTATGCAGTTTGTTATTTTTTGTTTTTATCTTTGTGTGTTGTGCAGTTTGGTACTAGATGATCTTTGAGGTCCCTTCCAACCCAAGCCATTCTATGATTCTATCAAACACATTAAAAATCTTGACCTGTAAAGAATCTGGCACAAAATTATCTCAAAATAAGGTGTGAGCTTTAATGACAGATCTTTGGTCTGACTGTTCTGTAATAGAATCCAATTGTGTGGCCACAAAGAAAATGGCTAGCTTGGTTTGGAAAAGGTGTAAATCAATCTGAATAATAATAATAATTAATAATAGTGTGGATTTTTTTTCTTTTTTTAGCTGTACAAGGCACAGGTGTCATCTTCAGAACTGTGGAAGTTACTTTACATAAAGAGGGGAACACTTTTGGGTTTGTAATAAGAGGTGAGTTACTGAATGTGAACACCTTTTTGAGAAAAGAAGCAATAAGATTCCATAGCACTTAGAAATTATTTCAGGATTTATGACTTACAGTTTGTTAAAAAATCTCTGTGATTCATGTATTACTTCTTCCATACATTAATGTACTGCTTTTATGAGCTGCTCTAATTTTTGTTTATGGAACAACAGTAATTAATCCTCTATGCCACAAGAACATGAATAACTTCATTTCACACCAGATTCTGCTACCACCAAAATCTGCAGGAAGTTGTTCAATAGATGCACATGAAGTACGGGTATTTTTTTCTCAGCACAGCAAACATTGCAGAGGAGTAATTTTTCACAATAAGATCAAATTTAGAGAGTGAAGTTTCTAAGAAAGTAATATACCTTTAGTAAGAGTCACTCTGTATAAAGAAACATCTGTACAATACAATAGGTTGATTTTTTTTTTTTCCAGTAAAAATCATGGGAGGTTCATATTAATTGCTTCATCAGTTTTTGCTCTTTTTAGCCCATATATAAGTATGCAAGCTGCAAACCTTAGCATTTGAATATGAGCTTTCATAAAATGCATAAAATGAAGGTGTGCTTTCTCTCACTTTTGTTTTTCTAGGTGGAGCACATGATGACAGAAATAAATCTCGTCCTGTTGTAATAACATGTGTTAGACCCGGAGGGCCTGCTGACAGGTACAATTCATCTTTCCCTGTAATGCAAGTGAAAGAGAAATAGAGAAAAGTGAATTGTTTGGGATAGCAGTTAAGATGTGGAGTGAAGTAGATGTATTCAAACCTGTTCCTTTGAAATTTATGCATTTACCTGTAGTAATAATAACAGTAATAGGAAACCACAGTGGCTCAGCACATCGCAGTGTGGTGTGAACTTAAGTTAACAGAGCATCTTGCATGTTCCAAGGCTACTCATTAAATACTTGCAAAAATTAACCTAAAATTATTAGAGGAAATCTCTGTAATAGGTCAGAGCACAATCTTTGCAGCCTTCAAACAAGATCTTAATTATGCTTTTTATACACAAACACCACAATCTTTTTCTTTTGCACTCCAGAAAAATACTTTTATGTCTTTGAGTGTTGTTGTGCTATTGTTTTAAGACTCTTATGGATATCTGCATGTGAGCTCATACGTGACTTCACTGGAAAACTTCTGAGTATAGATGTGTGGTTTGGCCCAAAGAATGTGTTTTTGTGTAATATCACCTACGTAAAGAAAGAATATTCACTTTATGTTTGTGTTTGATTCATATTTTCAAAAAATCATATTTGTTTTCTTAATTCATTAAAGAAATTGGCAGTTGTTTTAAAGCAGCCTGGTGTTCTATAGCTCATGTTGACATTTTTGCATTTGGAAACATTAGTTGAGAAGTAAATGTTTCAGGAGAGCTTTTGTCTTTTATCCCTCTCCTGCCTCCCCACTTTCATCACCCTTGCCTTCTTGTTTTTCTCCTTCATTCTTAAGCTGGCAATGTTAGTGCTTCACTTTCTATTATAATTCTGAGTATGTTATAAGCCCAGGAGACAGTGAACATTTATAGACAAATTTCTTTTGGATAGGAGGAAAAGGAAATGAAACTATCCAAGTAGGGGGTATTTTGAAGAAAATCAGAAAATGGACATTCCTATTTTGCAGTCTGCTTCTTTTCTCATGTGTTTGTAATACCTTGTATATATTTCTAGGAAAATATCTGAAAATATCAAAGTAGGCGTCTATGTGTGTATGAAAGAGGACTTGCGTGGACAAGGCAGAAACAAAGCATATGCTGAAGCAGAAGCTATACTTGGTTGTTATTTAACATGACTTGATTATTTAGCTATGTGTTAAGCTGTTTTCCAGTCACTGACTTTCCAATTAAAGCAATTTCCTTTCCACTGTGCCCTCTGTACGTTCTCACTGTCAAAGTAAATGTTAAGTGTTAAGAGGGATGAATGTCAAGAGAGGGTGTGAGAGAATTGCTTTTCATAAATGGTATTATCTCCAAATCAATTTGTCTTATATTAATAAAGATCTTTTTTTTTTTATTTCCCTTCAGAGAGGGCACAATCAAACCTGGGGACAGATTACTGAGTGTTGATGGAATCCGACTGCTTGGAACAACACATGCTGAAGCTATGAGTATTCTCAAACAATGTGGACAAGAGGCGACTCTGCTGGTGGAATATGATGTTTCAGTAATGGGTATGTTGAGGAGTGGGACTTCAGTTGTGGGAACCATCTGTGCTGTTTTGCTGCCTGTTCTTGGTGAGCTATTTTAGAATTGATTGTGACCTACTATGCTCCTAGCAGCAATGATATTCCCTTCTACACCGTATCATTAATCTTGGGTTCATAAAGAGGTGAGCAGTATTTTACTGCAATTTAGCATTCTGACATGGTTTGTAGAGTGAAACCATAGTATGGATTCTAGTAAAGTAACTTTTCCAGTGACTAACTTATAATAAAGGTTAATGAAGTGTAAGGATTTCTGTGTCACATGGAAGAGGGTTTACTTGCCCTTACAGGAATTCTTTTACCTTTTGCCATTGCAAGGTAGCGGGCAAGCCATTATAAAAAGACACTAAAGTGCCACAGTGGGGAAGAGTTGTTAAGAAATGTAGAGATAACAAGTCGTGACTTAATAAATGACCTTGCAGTTCATACAAACTACTGTTGAACTTACCAATGATATTGGAGGATTTTTGGAAAGTGAAGGAGAGCAGATGATTTTTCACAACAATTTTGGGAATTAGTTATTTCCATGTAACTTTGGAAAGCATCATATCCCTTCCTTTTTTGCAAGACAGAAAATTGGTGGCAGCAAGAAATAGAAATACTCACCAGTCAGACCAACGCATTTCTTCTCTGGAGATCTTTCTCTTCTTTTCCTCCTCAGTTCCACAGTCAGATTTTGAGCCTAGTAGAAAATTGGCCTCATAGGAATTTCTGAAATAGCACTGTCGAACTTCAAAGCCTTGGGAAACATCAGTACTTAGAAAAATGGTATATTTGTTTATTCTAGAACAGTTTTCTTTGTTCTTTCCAAGGCATGGGTCTTTTTTGTTATAATACGTATATTTGTTTACTTAACTATCCAGAATGGAATGACAGTTTTGCTTGATGTCTATCAGACAAGATTCATGTCCAATAGCATAGTAAGAGCTCTGCATGTGTGCAGGAACCTCCTGTGTGGAAAATGAAATGCAGATGATCTTGTACCTGAAGTAGACTAGAATTCAGGTGCTTTCAGTTGTTTCTTCTTTTTCTTTGGAAGATGGTGAATTACCAAATGTTATTTATCATCAAAGTTTCAAACAGATTCTTCGTACTCCACTTTCTCTAAAAGAGAGATTTCACTGAAATGAATCCCTGGCTTTAAACAGCCAAAGTTCCCATCTAGGCCTTTATTACAGAAAAAAACTCCCATCCTCGTTCTCTTACATAGCTCAGAGAGACAGCCTCAATTTCAGTGAGGATCTTATAGAAATCTGGCAGGTTTGCATGAGGAGAAAATCATTTGATGAGAACCTCTGTTGTGCTCTAGATTGTACATTGCACAAGGCAGAAACCTTCTTTTCTGTGATATTCAAATAGAGCTCAATGCAGGAGGATCTTAGCTGGGAACTGTGGGCTTACAACTGTGTAGGCAGTACCTTCCTATTCATCTCTTAATGTTATTTGCTCTCTGAATAAACTCTGCTGCCTCCCTTTTGTTCTCAGTAACAAATCTTGATTTATTGTTCATCTGAAGCCATTTCATAGAATCACAGAATCATGAAATGACTTGGTTTGGAAGGAACCTCAGAGATCACCTAGTTCCAATCCCCTTCCAGGGCCCTGGGCTTCAGGCTGCCCAGGGCCCCATCCAGCCTGGCCTTGAGCGCCTCCAAGGATGGAGCATCCAAAGTTTCTCTAGACAGCCTTATCTTTCTCTAGCCAGGGCCTTATCACACCCTCTCAGTGAAAAATTTGCCCCTGGTATCTTATCTAAATTTCTCTTTTCTTCCTACCTTGCTGGTAATTAATGCATTATCCTATGGAAACTGAAGGAGGTGGAAGAATATGAGGCTTGTGAAGATAGAAAGAAAAAAAGAGAAAGGAACCACACATGGGAAATGTATGTGATAGTATTCTGCAATGTCAGTGAGAAAAATAAGGAGGGATCTGTGAGGCTCTCCCTCTAATAAGTTACGATTTTTTTAGATTTTACCAACCTCCCAGCTCTTTTATTACTTTTTCCAGCATGTATACCATGTGTAGTTTTCCAGTGGTATTGTAACAATTTTTGTTTGGAAGCTTTATTTCCTTTTTTCAGTTACTTTTTGTGTAGACCATGTCCCAGAGAGTGAAAATCACTCATCCTATTCTATTCTAATCAAATAGTGTTGACTGAAACAAATTTAATAATTTGGCCTACTAAGAGTAAAGCAACAATCCAAAAGTTCTATTCTACAGGATCCTCCCAGTATAAACTTTCAGTAGAACAACTTACTCCCAGAGATGTAGTTGTACCATTATTTGCTTTGAAATCTCCTTTTCTGTTAGAAGATGGCTATATCCTATAAAGTAACATTTTGTGTGACCAGAACTGGAAAGAGCCATAAAATATATTCTGATAGCATGAAATTGGAACTTAATTTGAAAAGGTTACAGAAGATGAAGAAAATAATCCTGAGCTATTTTTCAGCTACAATTCTGTGGTGTGTTGCTGACATTTATACTCCTGTAAGCATAAGCCATTTCAAAGGTGCTGTATTTCTTTAAGTTTTGTTCCTTCTCTTGAAGTCTTCAAGAGGTCACTTGGGAAGCTTGTCTGCTTTATTGGTTCTGGAACTGAGACAAATTTGAGGGGGAAAAAAAAGCATCAAGGGGTTCTATGGAAGGGTATGTAAGTGTGTATATAATGTAGGAGATGTGGCTAGTTCCACTGAATTCTCTGGAGTTACACTTGTGCTTGTTTATATATATTCTGAAGTATCTTGCTCAGCTGGGTCCTAAGAAGTATACTTGTCAAATTGGGTCCCTGGAGAAAAGAGGAAAACAGAATTTCTGCAGAAATCTCTTATAACTAGTTGAAAGTTACATTTGCAGTTGTGGTAGTCTTCCATATGCATTTCTGTCTTCTAAAACACCTCCAATCATAAGCATCTTAGTTACTTCTTATCGGTATTAGAGGAGACTACTTGCATTTTTTTTTAATTCTGTGGAGCTTTAATAATACTATACTTCAGTGTGTGCAGAGGAAATGGGTGTGATGAATTGCTCTAAACCCCCCTGCTAAGCAGGTTCCCTACAGTAAGTTGCACAGGAAGCATCCAGGTGGGTTTTGAGAATCTTCTAAGAAGGAGACTCCACAGCCTCTCTGGGCAGCCTGTTCCAGTTCTCTGTCACCCTCACAGTAAAGAAATTTTTCTTCATGTTCAGTCTGGAAAAGTATGAAGTCGAATGGCTTTTGAAATAACAGATGCAGGAAGTTTTCTACAGGGTGTGTACAATGAATCTAGTTTCTCTGAAATCTGTAAACCTGTTACAGACTTGATTTTAAGTAAAAACACTGTTTGTAAATAAAGAATTACCATCTTATACTGAAGCAACTGCTGGCATTGACTTAGATGTCTATCAACTTGGGCCTGAACTTAGACATCTTTCACTTTAGTTAGCCATATGAATTTCATAATGTCTTATATCATAGAGTGGATAAGCTCTGTATCACACTTCTCTAAGAAACTGGGGCTTCCCAGTAAGGAAGTGAATGTGAGTGACTAATGTATATAACTGCAGTGGTAATAATAAGCTGCAAGCAGTGGTTCACGCTGTCCTCTTATAAAATGAGGAACAAAAGCTTATCATTACACTCATGTGGAAATGGAGAAAATGCAGTTTACCTTCAGATTTCCCAAAAGCTGCCATAATGCATCTGGGATGTCTGTATTCTCTGTAATTGAGGTTGCTTGGACATCTGCTCTGTTAATCTTCCATATATACTCTGAAAGGGAGCCTTCAGGAGGGTTCAAAAATAGTGGCTGTCCTGAGCTTGAAGTCTGGCCCATAACATTTTTGCATAGCTCTAGTTTATCAGTTGCTGCTGTTGAGCCTTTTGAAATCTGCTTTTTAAATCTTGAATGTTCTTGCTTGGGTAATCTTTGAATTAAGGATCCTTAACACTATTGGTTATTGCCAGAACTTCAGCATAAAAATAAGCCTTGTTGTTGTTAACTGTTTGTATCTGAGAGACATAAGAACTTTCTATGTCATCTTTTCACTTTTCACTGGGTGTTTCTTTGTTCAAGCCACATGTGCCTGTAATCTTCAGGAATGAAGGAACATATTGCTCGTTCTAATTCCATATGTTAATCTGGTTTATTTAACAAATGTTGCACTTGTCTGAGCCAGAACAGATTTACTGAAATGTGTCATCCTGTAATTGTTCTGTGCAAAGATGGTCAGCTGACATTTCACTCCTGAGTTACCAGAATCATGCTGATACAGAGCCACTCATTTTTAGCTAGGACGGCACCCTCGGTTTGCTGAATTCTACACTTAACCATTGATACAACTTTACGGAATGGGAAATATTCATGCAGTCATTTGGTAATAAATCTGACAGCAGTTTGACAGATACAGTCCATCTTTTTGCCTTTAACTTCAGCCATTTGAAAAGAAAAAAAGGGCAGTAATTTTATGAGACTACAATTTACAGTTTACTTCTATTTACAGAAACCTGCCCCAGCATCCAGTAATTATGACAAAAATTCAATGCCTGACAAAAAGAGTAGTAGGGGAAGGAAGCTTGCATCGGATGATGTCATCTATGATCCAGTGTAGACTCTGAGTGATTTTTGCAAGATGAGAAAGGTAGTAGAAAAACAAACTCTAAGGGCTGTCCCTTACGTTTCATAAAGCAATATAACTCAAGCATAACTAGAGCTGTGGAGACCTTTAAGTGTTATTGAGTTTTACAAGACTGGAGAACAGGAGCTCCAGAGACTCCAAGGACAGACTCATGATACTCATAAACGTTGTAAATGTTGCAAGACCTTGAAAGCTGGAGGAAAGACAGGAAGCCTGCAGTCTTCCACACTGCCTTTTCTTTCTATTTTTTATAAACCTAAAATTAACATTTCCTTTGTCTCTTAGAAGTCTTTGACAGAACATTTAGTTGTTGCACTCTAGCATTTCACTGTGACTTCAGGTCTCCTGAC